GGCGGGAAACATGCAGCTTGGCTGCGTGCTGCGCGGCTGATGGCCAGCTTGTTTGAAACAGCGGATCTGTGGTCCTCTTCTCCCACCCCAGACACCAACAACACACTCACACACACACACTCTCTCTCACACACACGCACACACACACACACACACACACATACGCACACCAGGTTGCGGACTTTGGCCTGGCGCGCAGCTTCCTGCCCCCCCACAAGGCGTACACCGACAAGGTGGTCACCCTCTGGTACCGCGCCCCCGAGCTGCTGCTGGGGGCGCGCTCCTACAGCCCCGCCATTGACATGTGGAGCGTGGGGTGCATCTTTGCGGAGATGGTCACGCGGGAGCCGCTGTTCAGGTGAGCGCACGCGTGCGCGTGTGTGTGTACGTGTGTGTGTGTGTGTGTGTGTGTGTGCGATGGGGGAGGTGGACTTTACATGCTGTGTGTGTCCAGGGTTGTTCACTGCTGCGTAGGGGCCAGGGGCCGCATGAACTGTGTGCAGAGGGGAGGGAAGTTGGTCGCGCCTGTGTACGACAAGTGACTGCTCCCCAGTTTGGTGCGAGCGGTTGGCTGGACGCGTGGTGGCCGCTTTTTGGCGGCGCCAATCAGCCGCGTTTGTCTCATCCCATCCTGAGCGCTGGCAAGGCGTGTCTCACACGCCTCGTCAGCGCACTGCAAGCACACGATGACGACTCCGCCACGTGTCGCGCAAGGGGGAGGGTCACACGGTGCCGCTGGGCGCTCTGGCAGTGCTGACCTGGCAACCCCTACAACCTCCCCCCTTATCCTCCAGGGCGGAGTCTGAGATCGGCCTCTTGCACCGCGTGTTCGAGGCGCTCGGGACGCCCAGCGAGGCGGCCTGGGCGGGCGTGGCGCAGCTGGCCAACTTCCGCACCAACTTCCCGCAGTGGAGCGCCAAGTGCTGGCACGAGGTGGGCGCGGCCGCGGGGTTTTCAACGACAGCGGTTGACCGCGCTGGGGGGGGGGGACGAACGCCAGGACGCAGTGGTCGCTTCGCACCTTGAAGCGGCGCGGTGGCCAAAGGCCGGATCTTCAGGCTGTATTCGTGCAGACGCAATTTTTGGTCTCCTGGACCCGCGCCGCCCTCCCCGGGCGGCGGCGGCCCCAAATCCGATTGGCGTCCTTTACAGGACTATGAACTACCCCCCCCCCCCAAACACACACACACACACACACACACACACACACACATGTACGCGCGCACCTGCAGCTTCCTGCTCCACCTGAGCACCGCTCACCACCCCCACCCACCCCCATCTGCCGCCCGCAGCTCGTGCCGCGTCTGGCGGGGGACAGGCTGGGCCTGGATTTGCTGGCGGCCATGCTCACATACGACCCCGCCCGCCGCATCACCGCCGGCCAGGCGCTCGCGCACCCCTGGTTCGACGACCTCCGCGCGGCGGCCGCTGCGCCGACGCTGTCGCCGGCGCCGCAGCCCGGCGCAGTGGTGGCGCGGGAGCAGCCGCGTGAGGGGCAGGGGCAGGGGCAGCAGCGGCAGGCTGCGGCGGAGCCGCTGCGGCAGGTGCAGCCGCCGCCGCAGGCGCGCGCTGCTGCGCAGCAGTGGGTGCCGCAGCCGCCACCGCAGGCGCGCGCGCCCGTGCCGCCGGCGCTCGCGCCGGCACCGGTGCTGGGGCAGCCGCCGCTCGGTCAGCTGGATCAGCAGCACAAGCTGCAGCGCGCCGCCGCCGCCGCGGCTGCCGCCACGGCAGGCCCCAGCGCCGCGGCGGCCAAGGCCGCGGCGGCGGCGGCCGCGGTCGCGGCGTGGGTGCCGCAGCACCCGCCGGCTGTCTTGGCGCATCACGCGCCGGCTGCTGCATTGCCGGTGCTAGGCTTGGCGCAGCAGCAGCAGCAGCAGCAGCAGCACGGGGTTACCCCGGACGCGCCGCACTTGGCAGCGCCGCCCATGGCCATTGCCGTGGCGGCGGCGGCCCCCACGGCGCGCGGCAAGCCGCCGCTGCCGCCACATGGGCCACGCAACGGGGCCGGCGGCGGCGGCGGCATGTGAGCCGTTGGCCTCGCCGCGCCGTGCAGCATATACAGCATTGCGCCTTGAGCCAGCTCGTAAGGCGGCGCCACTGCGCGTAGGCGCCCCCTCCCTCTCGTTGCCGCGGGCGTGGTTGGCGCCCGCCCATTCCCGTCTTCCCAGCCCCGTCGTCGTGTCGTGGGTGCGCATGTCCGCTCTCTTTCTTCTGCCTACCTTTTCTGCCTGCCTTTCTCGGATTCATACCGCGCGCGCGATTGCGGCCGTCCCTTGGGCCGAGCGCAGCGACCGTACGCGACCTGAGGTGTTCCCCTCACACACACTTTCGCACAACCCCCTCACGCACTTGCTTGAAAAAGCGGCACGCCCCACCTGAGCACCACGCCTCTGTCCCAGCGACGCACCCGCTGGGCCGCTTCCTTAGCAGCCGCCTGCAGAGCAGGGGGGCCCCTCCCTTGCTCCTGAGCCCTGCGCGCACAGCGCAGGGCGCGGCGCCCGTCGCGCGGGCGGCGCTGCGCCGGCGCCGGCGCCAGTGGCAAAGGCTGTGGGCAAGCCCCAGAGCGGGCGGGGGCCGGCGCCTGGCGGCGCCCTTTTCCGCCCGTTGTTGGGCTCCTGCACGCACTGCGGGCGCTCTCAGTGTCCGGCAGTCTCCACCCCCTGCGATCCCTCTCCTCGGCAACTGAATTCTGGCTTGACCGCCAAGCACCGCTCACACCCAGGCTGCGGCAAAAGCCCAGCCGAATGCAGCACTTGCCGCGGCGGGGCCGGCGGCGCCCGCGCGTGCTTTCCAGAGCGCGCCTGCAGCCCGCCGCCCGCCGCCCGCGCCGCATGCAGCCCGTACTAAGGGGCGCCGCGGCCCGCCTCTTTGCAAGGGGTTATGTGGTCGCGCGGCCCCCACGCCGGCGGCGCAGCCGGCGCATGTCGAACAACCCGCCCTGTTGCAGCGTCAAGCCTTCGTTTGCCCTCTTGTGTGTGTGTGTGTGTGTGCGTGTGTGTGTGTGTGTGTGTGTGTGCGTGTGTGTGCACTCCTTTGTCGCCCCAGAATTGGGTTGACCGCAGCCGCCCGCTGCCTTGCGGGCAGCTCGCGTCTCAGCGTCATTCCCACCGGCCGGCGGTGCCCTCTACTACCCTCCTCCCCTACCCCGCACACCCCGCTCGGATTCCCGCTTTCGATAGTCGTATCAACTATTCCGCAGTTTGTGGGCAGGACGTATTAGCAGTCTGGGGGCGGGACGTGGGTTCCTAGGCCCTCGCAGCCCGTCCAGTTTCAGCGCCACCGCGCGTCGACGGCACGCACAGCACTTTTTTTTCGCTTCGGCTGGGGCAGGTGCGACGATCGCTGCGTCCCCAACCACGTGGGCTTGCGTGGAGGGGGGGTTGCTCATAGCCCCACCCTCTCGCGGACACGCCTGCCACTTGTCTGCGCCCCGGCCGCCGCCCAGGGCGCGCGCCCCGCGGCTCTACCCTTGGGTCGGGCCGGGGCCGGGCGGGGCGCAGGCGGGCCCTTGAGACGGCCGGGCCCAGCTCGGCGCCGTGGGGCGCACGGGGGGCGGCGGGCGGGCGCGACAGCTTTACAATCGGGGCCCGCATTGCGTGCGTTCACGCTTTTGACAGGCCCTGGGCTTATGTATGCGTGTGTGTGTGTGTGTGTGTGTGTGTGCGTGCGTGTGCGTGTGTGTGTGTGTGTGAGCGCTGTGTCTGGTTCCAGGCGGAATCACTGAGAGAAGCGGCCAGATAGACGAAGCTCTTCGTCCGCGGGGCGCGTGTTGCCCGTGCCCGATTGTGTTGGCCCTCTCACCTCTCCTGGCAGCCCCACGAAATTTTCGGCGACGCAAGACGTTTTTTTTGCCGGCTGCAGCATCGAAACTCCGCAGGCTTCGCCACCAGGCTGGAGCGCGCGCTGAGTGCTGGCCTGCGTCCCCCGCACAGATTTGCCAGGGCCGGACAGGGTCCTATTCGCCATGGCTTTACGCTCGCACGCGTTTGGATGATGACATGTACTCTATTATAATCGTATGGTTGGTCGGTCGCACGTAGATTCAGGACCTCTTTCCGTCAAGGCCTCGTGCGTGGCGGTGTAACTGCCCGCTAGCGAGTTGATACAGGAGGTTGCAGCCTCGCGGTGGCTGACGCGTGGTGGTGATTCGGGGGAGGATAGGATGTCAGCATGAGTTGTTCGAATAAGAGAGGTGGACAGATAGCCACAGGTATCAAGCCACGACCCCAGCATTCCAGCTGCACCGGGCTGGCAATCAGGGACAGCTTGAGAAGCAAGGTCTGGTTACACCCCGACGGGCTGTCGGCCCATCCCTGAGTGGCCGCTATTGCGTTTGTATGCGTGCTTCAGTATTGCAAAAGAAGCGTACCTCAAGTACCTTGGAGTCGTCTCCGGCCATCACCGCCTCACAGGGGGTGAGGTGCAGCAAGCAGCAAGGTGCTCAAAGCGGGTTGGGTACCGTACTAGTGTTCCACCGGGAATCGCTGTATAATACAGTATTTAGTATTGCAATGCAAAACCCGATGCTATGATCAGCCGAATATCGCTGTGGATTGTGATCGTTGCAATCCGACCTCCTGATTGGTCGTCTCGCTCGCTCCCGGGTTGTCGGGTTGTCGGCTCGCTCGGGCTAGCAGGAAGCAAACGACCGCAACATCTTTCTCTGAATTTGATAACACCATCTTGATAAGTCAAACATGATATCCCTTTCAAATCGCTAGTAGCACAGTGTTGAGGCTAGACTAGACGGCCCTATCAAGCCGCGTGGGGGACCGCGGCCAGGGCCCGTCCTCACGCACCTGTGCCTTACATTCAAGCATAAGGTGTGATATCTTGCATTTGAGGTCATGTGAGCCAGCTGAGCGAGCTCGGTGGACCACGCAGGGTTTCCATCAGCCGGGCGGACCGCAGAGTCATGCCGCCCCCATAGGGCCCGAAACAGCGAGCCCAGAACTAAATAGCACGCGAATCAGATTATGGTATCGATCTCTTGCTTCATAGACAGCGGGCCCGCCCGTCGGATCTCGGCCCTGGCGTAGCGGGTTTGGGGCGGGTAGCACGCTCATGCACACATGTACGCAATACGTCGACTAGTTTTCAGTGACTCCGGATGAGCGCATGCGGGAACGCCGTCGCCGCCCGGGCACGCCCTTGGGGAGCGGGTGCGCTGTGCCTGCCGCGTGCTGGTCCAGGTGTGCGGCCCCCCTCCGCTCTGACGATTGCTCATCCACCTCACCCTTCCATTTCACAGGTGAAAAAATTCCACACATGGACGTGTTTGATGGCCCAATGCCCATGCTGCTGGATGCTGCGCCTAGCGCGGTGCAGGTCGGCGCCGCGGCGCCAATCGTGCTTGGTCCGCCGTACGAGCAGCAGCAGCACCACCATTTCCATCAACACCACCACCACATGCAGCTAATGCAGAACCACGACGTGCAGCAGCAGCCGCAGTTCTTTGACCTCGCCGAGTCCCAGCAGCAGCACCAGCTGACCCATCATCACCAGCAGCAGCACGCCGCTGCGCCCGCAGACGCATGCGACGCGCCCTCCCAGCGCTCCGCGGCCACCGCCGCCGCCTACTCCGGCCCCGGCGGCCGCCAGCCGGGCGCGTCGCCGGAGATGACGAGCTCCGCATCCGCCGCGGCGCTGCTCGCGGCGCGGCAGCAGCACGCTGAGCTGGCGCAGCGGCACGCGCTGCTGCAGGACGCGGTCATGCGGCGGGAGCAGCAGCTGCAGGCGGCGCAGCACCTGCACCACGACTACTTCTACGGCGCGTATGAGCACACGTATGGCTATGAGCATGCGCAGCAGCATGGGCAGCATGCGGACCAAACCATGCATGCGCATGCGTTCTCGGACGCATGCGGCTTCGGCCCACATGCGCATGCGCATGCGCCGCAGAGCCCCGGCGGCGTGGACGCCATGCGGGCCCAGATCACGCATCAGATGGAGGTGCGGCGCCAGCTGCTCGAGCAGACAGAGCGCCTCGCCGCAGAGGTGCAGCGGCGCGAGGGCGCAGCGGCGCAGCGCGAGGAGCCGCGGCCGCCGCACGGCCCCCGCTCTGCGGCGCTCGAGGCGGCGCGGCAGCTCAAGGCCCTCATGTCGAGCCTGCCGCCGGAGCAGCGGCGCGCGTGCGCGCTCGAGCTGATGCAGCAGCGCCAGCAACTCCTCGCAGCCGGCGAGAGCGGCGCGGGCGCAGCGGACGTGGCGGCCGCGGCGCTTGAGCGGTGCCAGATGGTGGTGGCCGCAGGGCGGCTGGCTGAGAGCGACACGGCGCGGCAGCAGCAGCAGCAGCAGCAGCAGCAGCAGCAGCAGCAGCAGCAGCAGCAGCAGCAGCAGCAGCAGCAGCAGCAGCAGCAGCAGCAGCAGTGCCGCCAGGTCGGCGCGCCGCATTCGCAGCAGCACGACGCGGCGCCCCGCGCCGCCGCCGCGAGCTGGCACCACGGCCCGCTGCACGCCGACTGGGCGGCTGCTGCGGCCGCGGCCGGCGCGGGCACGGGCGCGGGCGCGGCGGCGCCCTTGGGCGGGCACGCGGCGCCGCTGTTGGCGCCGCACCTCTCCATGCGCATGAGCCACCACGGGGACTTGGCGGTGATGACTGCCTGGGACTCCGCGCCCCCGCCTGCGCTGGCGCGCGTCAGCAGCGACGATGACGGCGAGACGCTTCTGCTGCCGCCCGGCGCGCCGCGCCCGGCCGCGCCGCCCGCGGTCCGCGCGCTGCGGCTCGGGGAGGCCGCCGCGGGCAGCCCCTACGGAAGCGAGGGCGGGCCGTCGCCCGCCGCCGCGGCGGCCAGCGCCGCAGCTGGCGTATCTGGGGAGGTGCGGGCCGCAGTGCGGCGCCTCGTCCGCGGCGCCGTGGCCGCGCTGGGCGGCGGCGACGACGGGTCCGGCAGCGACGAGGCGTCCGCGTCAGACACCCTGGCGCCCCTCGACCAGTGC